CTATAGGGACTCCAGTCAGGCCCTCCTGGGGACCTGATCTCAGGGTCCTGGGGACACGGTTTGGACATCTGATAGGGGCAGATTCCAACTCTGAAGACTTGGCAGGCTCCGGACTTACTATAAAGCTACATTACTCATGACAGGTGCTGGCAAAACAGACGAATGAAAGCGGAGAGAGAGCCCAGAAACAAACCTGCATGGAGAGTCAACTGGTCTGTGACAAAGCAGCAAAAGCAACGCAATGGTGCACAGTCCCCACCAAATGGAGCCAAACAATGGGGCGTTCACATTCCAAAAATGAATCCCAACACATGCGTTCCACCTCTACAACAATTCACTCAGAATGATCACAGACCTAAATGTGAAATGCAAAACTATCAAACTCCTAGAATATAACACAGGAGAAATTCTAGATGACCGAGGGTTTGGTGATGAGTTTTAAAAACACAAGACTGAACCCAGTGGCTCCCACCTGGAATCCCAGCACTTTGGAAGACTGAGGCAGGAGGACCAGTTGAGCTCAGGAGTTTGGGATCAGCCTGGGCAACACAGTGAGACCCCGTTTCGTTTCTTTTCTTTCTTTTTCCTTTTCTTTTCTTTCTCTTTCTCTCTCTCTCTCCCTCCCTCCCTCCCTCTCTCTCTCTCTCTCTCTTTCATAAGGGGAGAAAAATAACAATCCAAGAAGAAACCAGTGATAAACTTGATTTCATTAAAATTAAAAACTGCTCTGTGAAGGCACTGTCAAGAGAATAAGAAGACAAGCCCCAAACCTGGAGAAAATAACTAGAAACGAGATATCATTAAAGGATTACGATCCAAAATTTACAAAGAACTCTTACAACTCAGCAAAAAGAAAATGAACAACCAATTTAAAAATGGGCAAAAATTCTGAGCCAATATCTCACCAAAGAAGATATGCAGATAGTAAATAAGCCATGAAAAGGGGCTCAGCATCATGTTACTAGGAAATAGCAAATTAAAACAATATATCGCTACACACCTATCAGCTGGCCAAAATCCAAAACACAAACACCACCAAATGCTGGTGAGGACGTGGAGCAACAGGAACGCCCATTCATTGCTGGTGGGAATGCAAAATGGTGCAGCCACTTGGGAAGACAGTTTGGCAGCTTCTTGTAAAACTTTCACCATATGATTCAGCAATCACAAAGGAGCTGATAATGTATGTCCACACAAAAACCTCCACACAGGTGTTTATAGCAACTTTATTCATAAATGCCCCAAACTGGGACAAACCTAAGATGCTCTTGAGAGGGTAAATGGATAAACTGTGGTACAGTCAAACAATGGGATATGATTCAGCACTAAAAAGAAATAAGCTGTCAAGCCATGAAGACACATAGAGGAAATTTAAATGCCTATTACCAGGCGAAAGGAGACAATCAGAAAAGGCCACATAGTGCATGAGTCCAACCACGTGACATTGTGGAAAAGGCAAAACTGTGGGGACAGTAAAAACCATCAGTGGTTATGGGGGTGGAGGGTGGGGGAGGAATGGGCAGAGCCGAGGGTTTTCAGGGCAATGAAACCACTTTGCATTCTCTGTAAATGGCGGATCCGTGTCCTATATTTGTCCGAATCTACAGAACGGATAACACCAAGAGTGAATCCTAATGGATGCCACAGACTCGGGGTGATGACACGTCCGCGTGGGTTGGTTGCCTATAATTAATGTGTGCTCTGCCAGGGTGGGGCGGGGGTGATGGTGAGGGAGGTTGTGCATGCGCGGGGGCAGGGAGTGTGTGGGACTCTCTGTACCTTCCGCTTCATTTTGCCATGAACCTAAGACTGTGCTAGAAAATAAAGTCTATTTAAAACAAAACAGAAAAGGTGATGTTAAGGGAGCCCTAGAGGAAGACGCTGGCCAGCAGTAGGTGGAAGGGGCCTGGGGGCGGGCGGGCGCCAAGGTGGCACGTCAGGTCTGTGAGCCTTGAGCCTCACAGCACGCGCTGGCCAGCTCATGCCAAGAGCCCACCACCCTCAGGGCCCAGGCCTGGCCAGGAAAGATGGAGGGGCACCCATGAGGCCCCCATCCTCTCTCCTGACGCTCCCAGTGCAGTGGGGAGATAGATGGTAAACCAGTGCTGCATGTGTACTCACAGACCTTGAGATCTGCGAGACGAGTGGCCCAGGGGCCCCTCCTCAGCCAGGGCATGCGGGGAAGTCCTATCTGCAGAGTGACGCCGAGAGCTGAGAGACAAGGGGAGCCAGTAATACAAAGAGGGGCGCTGGTCGTCCCAGGAGGGAGGGATGGAGGGTGTCAGGACCAGACATGGGGAGGAGGCATGAACCTGGTCTAGGCACAGGAGAGGAAGGGGGTGGCTTGGACAATGTTTGGAGGCAAAACCCATAGCTGGGTAGAGGGAGGGGCAGGGAGACATAGACGGCTGGGACCGTTTCCCGTGGGGAGCTGGGCACACAATGGCCCCCAAGACAGAGACAGGAAGCAGCGTGTGTGGGGGGCCTGGTCTGGACATGCTGAGTGGGCGGTGCTCCACTCCAAGTGTAGTGCACAGAGAAGGGCTCGAGTTCGAGGCCTCCTTGGGCAGGGGTCTGGGACAGTGAGGAGCTCGGGGGGAGGAAAGGGAAGGAGCAGCATCCAAGAGAGCCTGGAGGTCAGGGTGGAAGACAACCATCCCCAGGTAGATGAGGGACTGGGAGGGACAGTCAGACCAGGTCTGGCGAGAAGACCAGGAAGGAAGAACAGGTGGGAATGGAGAAGCAGCTGGGAGTGGTGGGGGAGTTGGGGTTTGAGTGTGGAGGAGCTGGGAGTGGTGGGGGAGCTGAGGGCTGAGTGTGGAGGAGCTGGGAGTGGTGGGGGAGCTGGGGACTGAGTGTGGAGCAGCTGGGAGTGGTGGGGGAGCTGGGGACTGAGTGTGGAGCAGCTGGGAGTGGTGGGGGAGCTGAGGGCTGAGTGTGGAGGAGCGTGGTGGGGGAGCTGGGGACTGAGTGTGGAGCAGCTGGGAGTGGTGGGGGAGCTGGGGACTGAGTGTGGAGCAGCTGGGAGTGGTGGGGGAGCTGAGGGCTGAGTGTGGAGGAGCTGGGAGTGGTGGGGGAACTGGGAGTGGTGGAGAAACAGAGAATGAAGACAAGATTATTGGGGAATGGGGCATGTCCACAGCTTGAGCTCTGGTGAACCTGGACAGGAGGTAACGAGGTACCCTGGAAAGAAACCAGAGGGACAGAGCAAAGGGGCGGGGTATGTGGAGACCAGGGGGGCTTCAGGAGAGGATAGCCCAGACTCTGATGGCGCCAACAGGAAGCAGCTTGGTGGGGGGCCGCCTGCCCGGGGTCAGCCCCAAAGACAGTTCTGCCACGCCCCCTGGTGGCAGCATCTGAAGTCACAACCACGTTCCAGGGCGCACAGGCCGTGGGAGAGGCCTCTGGGATGGCAGGAGGGCCTGGTCCCCGGAACCATACATGTCACCAGCGCCCCTCCCTCCCCACGGCCTGACCTTGAACCCCTGGTTAGCTCCTGTTCCCACTGGGCCTCTTGTCCCCTTCCTTGATCACTTTATGCATGCTTGGCACTGCCATCCTCCTTCCCAGCATGTCCACACCCCCACCACTGCTGGGGGGACTCCACGGCTCACCGGGCCACGCACTGGCTGCCTCCACCCCACCTGAGCTCCAGGACGAGGGCATGCTCATGACAATGCCCTTGGTACCTGAAGGTGCCTGGCACGCAGCAGCCACGGAGTCACTGTCCAGTGAACCCAGGACCGAGCTCTCCTCCAATGAACCTGGGACCAAGTTCTCCGGTTCTGTCACGGCCCCTCTGTGGGCTTCCCAATGTACCAAGATCTATTTCTAGGGCTCGGGTTCTGGTGCTACACTGCTCAGAGCTGAGTTCCAGTCAAGCCCTACAAGCTACAGGGCCCTGGGTGGAGCAAAGCCTCATCTGCAAGTGGGGACACTGAGGACTCCCAGGGCCGCCTGGGCTAAGGGCAGACGCAGGTGAGGACAGGCCTGGCCCAGCAGAAGCACCTGAGTGTGGGGTGCCACACTGGATCACCTCAGAGAGAGAGAAAGAGAGAGCACGCGCACGCGAAGGCGAGTACACAAGTGTGCAGCCGGGGCCTGCACGGGGCTGGGAGGTTCTGGGGACAGTGCCGCCGTTCCAAGCCCAAGGGATGGTTTTGCACGTTTTCCTGGTGGAAACCCCAAAGTGCATGCTTGTGATTGTGCACGTTTCATGCACTCATGCACACGTGAATACACATGTGTGGTATATGGTGCACGTTTCACGCACTCACGCACACGTGAATATACATGTGTGGTATATGGGTACCCCCACCACACAAAATGTGTCCACACCAGCCTATGAGAAAGGGGAGGAGCCTCACCTTACCCCGGACGTGGGAGGCTCCTCTGCTGCCCGGGCCAGGGTAATCCTGGCCCCAAGGCAAGTGCTGTGGGCGTGGACACCCGTGAGGCCTTCCTGAGGCCTGGCCTCAGTGGGAGGAAGGCCACTGGTGAACCCAGCTCCCACGGAGGAATAACCAGAAGCATCAGGCCAAGACCTGATGCGGGGTGCACCGGGGCCTTCCTGCCTTACCCATGGGTCCCCCGCGCCCTCTCAAGGTGGTGGAATGAATCTGCTGATTCCACGTGGTGGGTGGGGAGGCCAAGGGGGTGTGGTGGGTACAGTGCAATTGAGAGTTCGAGTCTTGCGGGACCAGGGGCCCCGTTCCAGGCCCAGCAGCCAACACACAGGGAGGTGCAAACCAGACCACACAGAACAGCCGTGCCAGCAGCCAGAACGGGCGTTTCCCACACCCCCACCCCAACGCTGGGCAGTTCCTGCCACTCACCCAGCGTGGGGCCTCTCAGGCTGGCCTGGCCCTGGCTGCTCAGGCAGAGACAGATCCAAAAGGCAACAGATATGTGACACTGAGTGAAGTGTGCAGACACCTGACTCCCATCCCCAGTGCTTTCTCCCCCAAACCATCCTGCATACACAGATGAACGCAGCACAGTCGAATGCCAACACACTTTATTTCCCTTCGGATGCGTCTGCAAGCTTCTGCCACACCTGAACCCACAGCCTGGCACCAACGCTACCATCACTCCCCAGAGGTCAATCTCGGAGGCTGAGGTGCTGCAATTTCCCTTTCTTCCTGAAAATTAAGAGAACTGAGACTAATTGAAGAAACCTCACTGCCATTCCTCACCCAGCAGTCTCAGCAGGCTTGAAACGTGGCTGTGAGAAGCTGCCACTTTGGGAAGGCATTTATTCTCTGCGGCTACAGGGATTGCCTGCTTTAGAAACCCCCTTACGCCGATTAACTCAAAAGTCCCTTCAGAGTAGAGAACCAACCTTTCACGGTCCATAAATGTGGTATTTCTGGTTTCCTCATCAGGAGGCTTGCAAACCTAAAAATGTTCTTCCTTCCAAAAACTAACCTGAAGTATAAAACCTGGGACGGCAGAATTTTCTGTTTCTGGAAAAGCTGGCTGCGATTTGTTTTTGGGACACAGTGAGGCAAGTCCCTGTGGCAGAGAACGAATCGGCCCCTCCGCCTCTGTATGTGAGAGCAGCCCCGCCAAACCCAGGAAGAAACACCCGCCCAGGCACTGCAGCCACCCTCCCTACAGAGAACGCCTGCAGGGTTCAGCAAAAAAAAAAAAAAAAAAAAAAAGGGCCTGCCAGACCCCCCGCTGGACGGAAAGCAGCTGACAGCGCCTCAGCCACAGCGTGAGGCCAAGTCCTGGCACCAAGCTGGGACCCCGTCCGTGCGCGTCACTTTCCGGTGAGTTCCAGCACCTTCTGCACCATGGCCCCGATCCCGTCGTGGATGTGGTGGAGTGCCGTATGGCACATGAAGGCTGGGGTCGTGACCACCTTGTTTTTCTGGTCCACGTGAGCTTCGTGTGCAGAGTTATGGAAAAGCCACCGTGCAGGGACCCGAGGGACTTTCAGGTGTGCAGCCCGGCCCCTGCCCCACCCTCACCACACGTCCTAACTTTGTTCTCAGGTAACTTGGAACAGCAGAACTTGCTCCTGGTGCAGTCTGTGCTGGCAGGACCCCGCTTTCTGTATGATTGACGCTGCTGGACAACATAGGAAGGTATCTGTTCCCAACTGACATGCATTCTAGAGGAAGCAGCGGGGAAATTCCAGGGAACGGGGCAATGCCCTCAGGGCACCTTTCATGCCAGCATCACACAGGCCCAACACCCACACATGGCCACGAGCTGCCCACCATGGGGGCGCACACATGCCTGGGTCCTCACAACCACCACGGGAGACAGTGGCAGCGCCTCCACTTTTCAGAGGAAGAACTGGCAGTGAGGGAGCCGGTCCTCATGCTGCGGGGAAACAGGCAACAGGGCAGCAGGCGCACAACCGGAGCCGGCCGGCCAGACCTGAGCCTCTCCCCAATGCCACGCACCAGTGGCCAGGCCTCCACACCAACCAAGACATGTGCCCCCACCTTCCTGCAAGCAGTCAGCGACCTGGGGCCAGCCTTGCCCCGTGCTCCTGCCCGGCAGGAAAGTCGCAGGGGGAGACGGGCCTGACGTCGGAAGCTGCCTGTGAGTAAAAAGCTGCCCCACTGAGAGGAACTGCACCCTCCAGAACAACAGCTGCAGGGGACCGGGTCCATGCTGTACTCATTCTAGCACCTTCCGGCACCCCGGACTGTTCTGTTCTCTCAACTGGGCCCACATGGACATTCTTCCAGATCCAGGCAGCACCTCCCAGGAGCCTTCCTCCAAATCTCCCTGGGAACAGCCCCACTGGTGCTCTTGGTCCATCGTCTCAGAATCCAGGGTACACACCTCAACAGGAGGGGCCGGGGGCTGTGAGGCTGGCTAGAATCACCTGGCTATTCAAACTGGCCTGAGAACTTCCACCCAAATAAAGCCAGGAAGCGCCTGCCTCCTGCATGCCCAGCTGCTCTCCCCCATTATCTCAGGAAGCCCCTCCCTCCTGCACACCTGGCCACTCTCCCTCCACACTTCCCACACACTCTTTCCTCACCCTCCCCTGGGCTGGAGCATCCTGAGGTCCCACAGCTTCCCCTGCAGGGTGCTGCCCCCTCCCCCCAGGCAGGCCCCAAGTGTGGCTGTCTGGGGGTTGCTGAGCAGACTCAACAGTCAGGCTAGGGACCTGGACCACCTGCCAACCACGCACCAGCTGGGCCGTCACAGCCATCTGCTTGACACCCGCAGACACATGGCCACGGTGCCCACCGGGGAGGCCCCACAGGGAGAGCAGCAGGTGCAGCTCCCAGTGAAGAGGCCGCCAAGAGGCGGGGTGTCCTTATGCACGGCTCAGGGACAAACGCAACTGCGGGCCGGGCCTGGCTACCAGGAAGGATATGGCCACTTCTTTCACGAAGTGCTTGGCACCCAGGGCCTTGATGGCTTCCGCGGTCCCAGCGTAAGGCCACTTGCCACCTTCCTCCTGCTCATGGCCCACGGTGACCTCGACTCCTCTGAGCACCTTGGCTGCGAGGACAGGCGCGATGCAGCACAAGCTGAAAGGCGAGAAGAACACGGGTCAGGTGGGTGCGGGACCCCAGGCTGCACGGCCTGCAGAACAGAAATGACCCTTGCCATGACCCCAGGCTGCCCTGCCATGGGGGCCCTGCTGTCCCTGCCCGCTGTGAGCCTGGGCTGCCTGGAGGCTGTGGCCCATGGGATGTGGTGGAGGCGGCACCAGGTGACTCAAGGCTGAGTGAGGTGTCCTCAGCCCCACTCCCCACCCAGCACTCCCTGCAGGCACTCAGGCACCAGGCCAAAGAACCCCGAGGGGGGCCCCCAACAGTCACGGATGAGCCCCAAGCCCCAGGACACCCCAGACTGGCGGGAGTCCCGGGCTGCCGAAGTCCACTCACAGAGCGGGTAAAGGAGTGCGGCTGCCCCAGCCCTGAGTTGTGGGATACTCTGTGACCCCAAGAACAGGTATCACAGCTGCACTGACCAGCCACACCAGACCCCCTTCACAGTGGAGGCACAGCGGGCCAGGAGCAGCCTCACCAGCCTCCGACCTGCAGCGCAAGTCTCAGCAACGGCAGGCTGGTGGTGCACGCCCGACCCTGACACGCAGGCCACAACAGCTCCACCCGGGCCCTGAAGCTGAGGGTCCCGCCACGCCCACCCCTGGGTCCTGCTTCTGCTTCAGCAGGAACCCCTTCCTGCCCAGCCAACAGAGGCCCCTCTGTGTGCCAGGCACTGTGCTCACAGCAGCGCCTTCAGCGACCTGTGTTGTCCACACCTCACGGCCACCCAGGGGCGACAGTGGAAAGGGCACGGCCTCATCAAACAGCAGCCCCATCCCCTGGCAACCTGTGGTGTGGCCCACAGCTGTCAGGCCCCATCCTGCCCCCAACACCCCACACCTTGGCCTGTTTTCCTTCATCCCTCCTCCCGCCATCTATAGTCCTACCCACTCCCAATAGGCCCAGGTGGAAACTGCTACCGTGGGCTATAACAAAACACTGTTAACAACACATGTCACAGCCAGGCACAGTGGCTCACGCCTGTAATCCCGGCACTCTGGGCAGCTGAGGCAGGCAGATCACCTGAGGTCGGGAGTTCGAGACCAGCCTAACACGGCGAAAAGTCATCTCTATTAAAATTACAAAAATTAGGCCTGGTGGCAGGTGCCTGTAATCCCAGCTACTTGGGAGGCTGAGGCAGGAGAATGGCTTGACCCTGGGAGGGGGGCCTGCAGTGAGCCGAGATCACTCCAGCCTGGGCAACAGAGAGACTCTCTCAAAACAAACCCACCCCCAAAACCTGCATGTCCTAAAGCTGAAGCAACTTCCGGCTGCCTATGAGACGAAGGCCCCCTGCCGCCCTCCGAGCAGACAGGAAGTCTGGGAAGCAGGGTCTCAGGGGCTCCTGATGCTGTGTGCAGCCGCCTGGCCATCAAGTGCCAGCTACAGATACCAAAGCGTCTCCTGGCACAGCCGAGCACCCACCTCGACTACCGCATTCAAGGAAAGGGTCCCAGCACTAAGCAGCCGGGCCACCTAATAGCCCCTGGCCGGCCACGCAGGCCTCTGGCACCAGGCTGAGGGGTGGGTGGGGCCGGCTGCAGGAGGGACCTCAAGGCAGGCTGACATGGGAACTGTGTGCCCAGCCACAGAACCACTGCCACGCCCCTCTCCTCTTAGGAAGGGAACGCTGCAGCGGGAAAGGATTTAGGTTTCCTCAGGCAAGAGAAAAAGAGCCTGTGGGTCACCGTGCACGGGAGCCCCGTGGCCGGACCGGGGAGCAGACGGGCTTGCGCCCCACGCCGTTTCCAGGGGAGCCCCGTGGCCGGACCGGGGAGCAGACGGGCTTGCACTCCACGCCGTTTTCAGGGGAGCCCGTGGCTGGACTGGGGAGGAGACAGGCTTGCGCCCCACACTGTTTTCAGGGGAGGCATGTTCACCTGCCGGGGGGCTATCTTGTTTCACCGAGATTTTGAACCAGCCACAAAAGAAAGGGCCATGGGCTCCTCCCTCTGGGCGCTCATCCCAGGAACGTTTCTCTGACAAGGACGGGATCCCAAGGTGGGGACCGTGGGCGGCATCTTCACCTGGGCTGTGTGCGCCTGTAGCAGGGACCTCCTTCGGGAGCTCTGAGCCTGCACCTCTTCCTGTGGCTCCGCCATGTCACCCAGGACGGTGACCAGGCGGGTCCTTAAGTGAGTGACTGTGGGTGGGGTGGGTTTTTTTTTCCAGCCCTGCTCAGAGGATTCTGGTAGAGCATTATCCTTGTTTGGTTGACAGAACCCGGTAGTGAGCGGCCATTGCACGTGCCTCACAGATGTTCATCAACACAAGTGTGGCTCTCGCCCTGCTCCAGGGATTTCTCCAACTGGGGACAGATGCCAGCACCAGATGCAGCTGAGACCCGGACAGCGCAGCACTGGGTTCCGGGACCACCAAGGAGCCGGTGCAGGGAGGCTCATGGAAGCATCACACCTGCCACGGCGGAACCCGGCCTTGCTGGGTCACCGTCACTCATCTGAGGGTGACTTCCCGGCTGCACATGGCGACGAGCACACAATCCCTGCAGGGCCGTGACCCGCCACGGAAGCCAAGGCGCTGATGATGGAGTGGGCACCCACCTCGTGCCGCCAGCCTCAGGACCCAGGCTTTGTCTGAGCAGGGGCAAAGGGGCATAGTCGGCTGTGGTTCCCCAGGAGGGAGGCTGCTGGGAGTGGACGGCATCAGGGACGGTGCACATGCTGTAGTGACTGGCCAGAAGTCAGCGGGGTTGGGGATACTGTGGCTAAGGAGCTTGGGAGAAGGGGTCTGGTAAAGGCTAGGGGTCCTGAGGGACTGCCTACGGATGCCTCTGGGAGCCGAGAGAATTCCAGGTGTCCGCTAGGGAAGTGGAGCGTGCCCTTTCCTTCCTGTTAAGTCACCAGTGACATCGCGTGAAATCCCCTCAGCTAAAACAAGAAAACCAGCTGTGAGTTTTCAGGATCAGTGGCAGCTCCTGGCTGGGTATGGAGGCCACAGGCCCATGCACCCTCCTCCCTCACTGCCTGAGGCCTGAGTGGCGGTACATACCCGATGGGCTTCCCGGCCTGGTGGAACTCCTTCAGGACACGCTCCACTTCTTTATTAACTTTGCAATCTTTCCCGTCCACGGCAAACGTGCTCCTACCGGGAGAGAAAAGGCCTCCTCAGACAGCCTCACAACCAGGGTCTACTCCTGGGGGGCTTCCTAGGCACAGCTCCAGACCCTCAGCCAGCTGCAGCAGCAGACATGCGCATGGCTGCACACACGCGCGTTTGATGTGAACACCTTTTCCTGTTTTTTAAACAGAAAGCAGCACAGAAAGCAGGAGGATCAGGAAGGGTGGAGCAGGAGGCCACCAGGCCGAGAGGGCTCACGCCCTGGAACCTTCTGGAGCAGCTGGCGGAACCCGGGCTGCGGTGCTGAGACTCAGACACCGGTATCCGGCTCCTGACTGCCATGGCGCTTGTCAGCTTTCTGTTACGATGTTGGCTGTGTTGGGCCTCGGGCAGCCTCTGACCTCCTGCCTGCCTTTCACCTGCCCCAAAGCAGGACTGTAATGTTCCCCGCCTTTCTCCTGAGAGGGTCCCCCACTCCCTGGGGGAGAATGCTGACGTCATGTTTCCCTGAGCACCGTAAGCCACTCCAGCAAACGGGGTTGTGGGAACCCCAACTTCAGTGAAGTTAATCGGTCAGTTCCAGAGGCTCAGGCTGGTCACCGGTGTGTGTCGGAGGGCAGTCTTGGGGACGGAGCCCTCAACCCGTGGGGTCGGACGCTGCCCCGGGTCCATACTGTCGGAACTGAATTGGAAGGCAGCAGCGACCCTTGCGTGGTGCGTGGGGAAGACCCTTCAAAGCTGCTCACAGGAGCCTTCTGTGTAGACGGCTGTTGTGGTGGGAGGAGGAGAAACCCGGTGTGTGAGTTTTTCCTCAAAACAAAGGGGCCGCAAGAAACTCCAGAGCTTCCGGAAAAAGAAACGCAATCGGCCCCCAGGCATAACAAGCACTCTTGCTCCAGTGACCATGAAACAAACGCAGGTTTACCCAAGACACCAGCATCCACACCTAGGCCGAGGAGCAGGAGCTGTGGAGGGCACGCGGGGCGGGGAAGGTCTCTCCACACTGCCCATGGGGCGTGTGTTTGGCAATGCCACCAAATCTACAAGTGGACACACCTTCCCACGAACGCCACCCCCGGGCTCTACGCCACCGCTCACGCACCCCAGTCCTCCGCCCAGCATTTTCCACACGGCTTTGCTGGCAGAGTACTGGGAATCTTCTGGAGGCAGCGGGTGTTCACCGTCCCCACGGGTGACTGTCTCAGAGGGTGGGGAGCGGCCACGGCTGCAGCTCGTCAGAGTGCAGTGTGAACACGCAGGGCAGGCTCTCCCAGAACGCGCTGGACAGGTCAGTGAAAATGGGAGCTTCGCCCAGGAGATGTGGGCTCAGACCCACGGGCACATCAGTCCCACGGCCCATCAACACCTTGAAAGCCAAAGGCAAAACCCACTGACCGCGAGAACCTCCAGGCGCCTCACCCCGCCGCGCGCCTCACCCCGCCGCGCACCTCCACCTCACTCCACGCACCTCACTCCTCTGCGCACCTCACTCCACACACCTACACCTCACTCCGCGCACCTCACTCCTCTGCGCACCTCACTCCACACACCTACACCTCACTCCGCGCACCTCACTCCTCCGCGCACCTCACTCCACACACCTACACCTCACTCCGCGCACCTCACTCCTCCGCGCACCTCACTCCGCGCGCCTGACGCCGGTGCCTCCGGGTTGGCAAAACGTGGAGGAGCCACGCCAGGGCACACAGCCCCCAGCACACCCTCCAGCTGCCCCCGGGCCCCGCCACACACGGTGTCAGCAGTCAGAGCCTCGTGGAGATGGCGGCGACGTGGGGACAACTGGACAAAACATGGAGCCTGACGTGGGACTGCGTGAGGCAGCACCAACGAGGCTTGCTGGCTTTCAGGAGAAGGGGGATGACAGGCTGGGGCGGGGCTTCCGGTAGGAGAGGGGTGAGGGCACGGCCAAGGGCGCAGAGAAAACGGCTGGCATCTGAGGAAGGAGACCTCCGAGGTTTCGGGATAGGAAGGGCACATTCTTCAGATGGAGACTGCCTGCCCCTCGACTCCGGGTGCAGGCTGCCCAGGGCGGGGCGAGCGGCCAGTCAGGCTCCAGCCTGCCCTCGAAACAGGAGCTGCCAACCGGGGCCGGCCCTGCTGGGGCTGCCACCCACACCGTGGCACAGAAGCCACCTGCACGCTCAGACGCACTGTGGTCAGTGCTCCTGCAGGTGACAGAGCTGTCCCCGGAGGGTCAGCTCGGCACCACCTCCACCTCGCAGGCAGGGCCATGGGGGTGGTGCCAAGAGAATCTCCACGAATGTGCGAAGAGAGAGAGGAGACACAGAGAATGGAAAGAGGATCTGGAACTCAAGGACACCACCATGTGGGAGCCGGCCACGCCTCCACAGTTCACGATCCAGCTACCATGGAACCAACCCAAGCAGCCACACCAAGGCGGCCGCCTTCTTCCTGGTCAGGACCTCCACGTAAACTACCACGAAGGAAACCAATTCCTGACGCTGCAAGGTTCCATAAGAGAACTGGGGCCGGGCACAGTGGCTCAGGCCTGGAATCTCAGCACTTTGGGAGGCCCAGGCGGGAGGGAGACTTGAGCCCAGAAGTTCCAGACCAATTTGGGCTACATGTAAGGCTCCAAAAAAACAAGCACAAAAACAAAACACATGGGCGTGGTGGCATGCACCTATAGTCCCAGCTATTCAGGAGGATGGGGCTGGAGGATGGCTTGAGCCCAGATCATGGCTGTAGTGAGCTACGATCGTGCCACTGCATCCCTGCCTGGGCAACAGACCAAGACCTCATCTCTACAGACAAAAAGAAAAAAAAAGAAGAAAGAAAATAAAAGGGGGAAAAAGTGGGATCTCCAACAAGTAAATACTCAGAGACTGATTTCAATGTGACGAGACCTACCAGCACAGTGATTAGACAAGAGGGAGCCCCAAACCCACTCTGACCGCTGCTGGGTCCCAGGAATGCTCAGAGACAAGACAGCAGAGAAGCAGGAAAAAAAGCACGTCTTGCTAAAATCCTAAGACCCAACCCTAAGAACGGCTCCCAAATCAGAGAGCAGTCACGTGCCCTGCCCAGACCCTAAACCCAGAGGCTGCTCCCATCACTACCCCCTCCCATCACCGCTCCGTTGCCCACATCGGACAGCAGGCAGGAGCACCCCCTTCCCATCTCCACATGGAAAGTGGAAGACCTCAAAGCTCAAATACGCACAGGTTTTTAGCCGCTCCAAAGCCTCCTGGAAAGATGGCGGCATCATGGTTGGCTGCATTGAGCTTGGCCAGGTCTGTGATCGTGCCACGGGCGATCCTTGCAGACTCGGTCAAAACATTCCTGGGAAAGAGCACAGGGCAAAAAGCCTCAGCATGCTGGTGGAGGACTGTGGAGCGGGGCAGGGGCACAGCCCACAGGCGACACGCTCCACACACATGGCTCTCAGCCACACAGGGACTTACTTCCAGGTCGGCATGTTTGGTCGCTACCTGGAAGGCAACATGGTTCTAGCAACGCTAAGTCTATGCTGGGCTCTTCAGATCAGCACCTCCGAACCTGCACCAAATCACGCTGAATCTCCTGCACCGTCAGTCAAGGCCCACGGGAAATGAAGTCTCTCCGAGTGTCTAAAGCAGACAGAATTCTGTGCGCTCATCAGGACGGTGGGACTTGGGGGGAAGGTAAGAAGCCAGGACTCGGGACCAGTGAAGTAACACGAAGGCCAGCCACCACAGGAAGCTGCTAGCCTCCAGGTGTGGGGGCCGAAGGTGCAGGTCCAGGTGCAGAAGCCAGGGTCCAAGGCAGGAAAACAAACCCCCACTGGTGAGCAGCACAGCCCCAGGAAGCAGCGGCGGCTTCTTCCTCCAGTCTCCAGCCCCGACCTCTCACGGTCCGAAGCCAGCTGGAAGGCACCTGGGAATGGCCTACACAGGGCTGTCGGGCAGGACAGGCAAGGGAAGTGGATCTCGGGCCACAGAGACCAGAACCACACACACCACAGTAATAGACATGTTGCTGGGAACCAACAAAAGAGATCTGGGGCCCAGATGGGAAGAAGGTGGGCAACCAAACTGAGAACACCACCTTTGCTCAAGACAAAGGTATGAGCAGCTTTACTCAGTGGGAAGCGATACGGTCGATATTTTCACTCCTGTGAGTACTGGAAGGAAGGCACTACTGAGCCTCAGCAGCATTACTTCCAGAACAGCCTGAGCACAACTGCTCAGAAGGACATTCATTTGCACACACACGACTTGGTTTAAGCTAAGCCAGCAAAAAAAGCTGCACCGTGGGAGGTGGACAAGAAGCAAGCTCCAATCCCACCCCCACCTGCTCTCGCTTTCGGAAGGCTGCCCCTTGGTGTGGTCAATCACGTGCATCTGAGGGACGTCAGGAGCAAAGATCTGGACTTCAGCCCCTCCACGGCTCAGGTGCACCAGGATCCTGCACCGGGGAAAACCAGAGACAAGTCTTCAAAATTTGCCCCATCCAGATTTGTGTTAACACATTTTTAAAAACAGGATTTTAGCTAAGTGCCAGGAGTAAATTCCTAATGTACATTAATAGCTTACTTGCTCTGCAAAAAGTTACGGTTGGTTCCATACCAAGCCAGATGTCCCCCACACCCCCATTCCAATTCACTGTCGGTTGGTGGGTTACGACTATGACAGACCCTCAAAAGTAGACTATGGAGATTAGCTGGTCCCAACAGCTCCCTTTGCAAGCTGGGGTATGGGGGCCGAGTGACTCCACTGAGGGAACAGCCTGGAGGCATGTGGGTCCCCGGCTGCTGAGTGCTCTGCCTACACCCAGGGCCTGGCTGCCCTCCTCCAGCTGATTGCTGCAAGCACCAAGAGTGAGAAGCAGCAGTGTGCTCAGAGGGCCACATGCACAGAGGGTATGAGGGGGCTTTCAGTCACTACTTAGTTCAATTTCTAGTCTCCCTCAACTTTCCCATCACAGATGGTGGGAGAGACACAGAGACCCCAGGACAACACTACAGGCCAGGCAGCTCCATCTCCCCAAGGGCAAGGGCAACAGAAGCTCCTCCTGGAGACAACAGCTGACATTACGTGGGCTCACGCTGGCATCCGCAATTCCCGGTGCCAACAGGAGATAGCTCGCTAAGCCCACCCACACACTAAGTCCTCACTGCCCCTTATGTGGAGGAGGAAACCGTATCAGTGACTTGCCAGAGGGAGAGGTCAGGACCTGGCCCTGGCACTTGGGTTCCACTACCCATAAGAAATCCACCCAGGGCCGGGCGCGGTGGCTCACGCCTGTAATCCCTGCACTTTGGGAGGCCGAGGCGGGCGGATCATGAGGTCAGGAGATCGAGACCATCCTGGCTAACACGGTGAAACCCCGTCTCTACTAAAATACAAAAAATTAGCCGGGTGCGGTGGCGGGTGCCTGTAGTCCCAGCTACACGGGAGGCTGAGGCAGGAGAATGGCGCAAACCCGGGAGGCGGAGCTTGCAGTGAGCCGAGATCGCGCCACTGCACTGCACTCCAGCCTGGGCAACAGAGTGCAGACTCTGCCTCAAAAAAAAAAAAAAAAAAAGAAACCCACCCAGACGCCCCAGACACAAGACCCTGCCGTTCTGCCTGGGAGGGCTCAAGCTATTCTAAGGCTATCTACTATCCCACCAAGGCCAAAATGAACATATCCTGGCCCTTTCCCCCAGCTCACTCTGCCTAGTGCCAACTCTAACCAGCTGGGTCGGGCCTCCTACAAAGCCACCAGCCTCAGGCCCTTCCTTCGTGGCCTGACACCCCTTCGCCACCACCCAGCTCTCCCCTCTCCAGTTTACCCTGAACCACATGGGAACTGCAGGCACCTGACACTCGCGGAGGCCTCCTGCCCTACCAGTTCGGCCTGCAGTCATTTCCAGTAACATAGGCAATCAGACCACCAACCACTCAGCAATAGCTGACCAGTTACATAAACGGTAACCTGTCTAGGACCCAGAAATACCAAGCAACTGTTAAAATGACATTGAGAACTGGAAGAATGGGAATTAGTTCCCATGTGTCAGAAACATCTACAAAACACGGGTGAGCATGATCTCGGTGTTTTCAAAATGTGTGTGTCCTGAAAACAGGCAAGTGAAAAGCTGAGTGATCACCTCTAGGTGACAGTATGACACTTAAAAACTGTGCTTCCTTAGTGTCTCCCTGGGTTTTGCGAGTCATTTTTGCTTTTTTTAGGCAATAGGGTATTTAAAATACAAGCTCTCTAGGCCGGGTGCGGTGGCTCATGCCTGTAATCCCAGCACTTTGGGAAGCTGAAGCGGGAGGATCACTCGAGGTCAGGAGTTTGAGACCAGCCTGGCCAGCATGGTGAAACTCCGTATCTACTAAAAATACACAAATTAGTTGGGTGTGGTGGTGTACCCTTGTAGTCCCAGCTACTCGGAAGGCTAAGGCAGGAGAATCGCTTGAACCCAGGAGGCGAAGGCTGTAGTGAGCCAAGATCGCGCCACTGCACTCCAGACTGGGCGCTGTTTCAAAAGATAAAAAATAAAAATAAAATAAGATACATGCTTTCTCTAAACTGTTCAAAAAAGAGTAAGTTGCACTGGTAGACAAGCCTTCTCGAGGCCCCCGGGGTGGAGGACCAGCTGCCCCTGAGGACTTACGCCGAGGCCTCGTGGATCTCGGTCCCATCGTAGACTCCGCATCCAGACAGCACCTGCGAGAGGAGCGGGAGCTGACGCGGGGGAAAGGGGCCGACCTAGGCGGCGGGAGCTGATTCGGGGGAAAGGGGCCGACCTGGGCGGCGGGAGCTGACCCGGGAAAAAGGGGCCGACTTGGGCCGCAGGAGTTGACTCCAGGTGAAGGGGCCGACCTGGGGCGGCGGGAGCAGACCTAGGAAGAGGGGCCGACCTTGGGCGGGGAACAGCGAAGGCTGATCTCTGGAGGCGGAAGCTGACCTCACCCACTCCGTCCACTCACCAGCGCGACCTTGGCCGCGGGCTGCGGCGCGGAGAGGTGAATGGCTGCGCGCTGGGAAGGCGTCCGACCGCCGGGGGACAGGGACGCGAACGCAGATGCCGCAGCGAACCTCGAGCCCACCAGGGCCCTCACAGCCGCCATTGCGGTGAGGACGGCGGGGTCGGAAGGTCACGCCGGGACAGAGCGTGCGCACCTAACCGCCTACAAACGCGTTGCTTGTGGGGACCGCACCGCCTTCGGGGCGGAGACAAGACCCGCCCCCGTCTCAGCCCAATCCCGAGAGTGCGCCGGTGGGCGGGGCCGCGCCTGCGCAGACCCTCCGGGTAGAGTTCCGGGAACCCTGTCCGCCTTCCGGTGGTGACTGAGGTCTCGGGCTCCAGGCTGAGGGATGCTGGTGACTCCCGGGGTCTCCAGCGCCGCCCCCATCGGACGCCTCCACAGGCGGCGCGCCCTTTCCGTCATCCGCGGAGCAGCCTGGCCTCGGGGCGGCGCGCCCTTCCTGCCATCCGCGAAGCAGCCTTGCCTCCGGGAGGCTCAGCCCGGCGCTTCTTACCTTACCTCCGTCTCATCCTTAACTTACCAGCACGAGCACCCAGGGTCCCCATCCTCCTAAATGGCCACTCATTTTAATCTCGGCGTCAGGACCCACGCGGGGTCAGGACCACCCCTCCGCTTCCCTGACTGTCTCCTCGCGGCTCCCGCTCCCGCGGAGCGACCCTTTCGGGTTTTACTGACCCTGGGACGTTGTACCCTGGAAACTGCCGTTCCACCCAGGGGCTTGATCTGGGTTAGTCTGGGGGCAAGTGGCCACTTTTTTTTTTTGAGGCAGAGTTTCCCTCTGGTTGCCCAGGCTGGATCTCGGCTCAACGCAACCTCCGCCTCCCAGATTCAAGCGATTCTCCTGCCTCAGCCTCCCCAGTAGCTGAGATTACAGGCATGCGCCACCACGCCAGGCTAATTTTGTATTTTTGGTAGAGACGGAGTTTCTCCAAGTTGGTCAGGCTGGTCTTGAACTCCCGACCTAGGGTGATCTGCCCGCCTTGGCCTCCCCAAGTGCTGGGATTACAGGCGTGAGCCACCATTACCGGGCACTGTTTTTGTTTCTTTCCGTTCACAGCATGGATGGTCAGTGTGAAGATCCCAGCTGTTCAGATCCTAGCTGGAATTCTTCCATTAAAAAAATCTATTTGTTATGCATGGGTTGGTTCACAGAGGAATGGCTGGATAAGTGCTGGCTTTTTCTCCCCAATTTACCCATTTTCAACCCAATAATGCAGGTTTTTGAAATAATGTGAATGGTCACTGCTGGAAGATGTTCACAGGGACATGCTGGATTCTGCAGACACCTCTGATGATCCAGCCCACAGCTGTCACTTTCCCCACTGTCGCATCGTCCATCACTAGGACTTTACTGCCAATCCCTGAAAGATAGTGGGGAACCAGAATAACAGACATGGGACGTTACCAGCTACAACCAAAGATGAGCTTGGCACATTTGACCATCCTCGTTCCTGCTCCTCTGTGCCTGGCCCTCTTCAGGCTTCTCAGCTCCTGGGGAGCATCAGCTGGTGGGAGTGATGGGGTTGTGGGATGGCGCAAAAAAACTCCAAGGGCTACCCAGAAAGGAAATGCCAAATGCAGACTCTCACTCAGTCGGTGCGGCAGCCAGGACCCTGTCTCTACCAAGTGCGCAGGAGCTGCCCCTGGCCTGGAGCTCACGGACCCCACTGCAGAACACAGCTCGTTTTCCCAGGGGCGACTACTCAGGTGTCCATTACCATGCACAAGTGATACAGAAAAGGGTGAGGTGAGGAGGGGGAAAGCTGGAAATTGTGCTTTGGGCAGGTGATAGCTAAGGATTCTCTCCAGACTAGGTCACACAGAGATTGTGCAGCCACAGAACACCCAGTGGCACCAGGGCCTGAGCTCCTCCCTTCTACAAAGATCTCTGGTCTGCAGGCCTCCAACCACAGCACTGTGGGCCACAAGGCACCACCTGTCATATTCATCTCTGCTCTCTAGCCCGTGGCCTCACCACCCCTGGAAGGCCGGCAGGCAGATACCAGCTCCACTTCCCAGATAAGCCAAGGAGCCAGGTACCACCCAGGGTCTCGTGGGCCACACCTCTGGCAAGGGACAGGCTGGGCCTGGCAAACAGCACGGGCAGTCGGTGAAGTGCCCACCACACTGGGTCGGCCTCAGGTCCTGACCCTGGAGGCTGCTGTTACTGAGTTGTGGGGATGATGATGCCCTGCCATGATGGAGGCCCAAGCCACTCATGATGACCGTTCCCAAGGGCACTGCAGAGGGGAGGGGCTGTCCCCTCCCCTGTGTGGCTCATGGAGAGCGGGTGCAAGTCTGAACGAGCTCACCGAGACAGGCCAGTCCCAGCCCCAGACTCCAAAGCGTCCCCGAGAGGTCAGGGAGCGGCTCTATGCCCGACCCCAAGGATACAGGTCACAGGGCAGGGCCCCCGGTGGACGGCAGGACCACCCTGCTTCCCCAGGACAGAAGCCCTGGTGGGCAGGCGGGCAGGCAGGTCTCGAGCCCCCACAAGACACCAGGATACAACATAACCCTTTTTAATCTGAACACGTTAGAAAACCCCCTCTTTTTTATCCCTAAGTTGTTTATCAAACCTTTATATTAAAGATATAAATAAGTCCCACACAAAGTCCATGTGAATCCCTCTCTGAGAGGCATTTTCAATGTTCATCACTGTTCACATGGCCCCGCTCCTGGCGCCGGGTACCAGTGTGTGCCGGCCCCTGGCGTGACCCGTCGGCTCGTTGTCCCGATGGGCTACACGTTTGCACAGGAAAAGCAAGTCACTACCACCAGTGACAGTATTTCAGCTGCTCTCTGGACCCTCCTCTTTGCTGGCCCAGGTGGCACAAGGGACCCATCTCCCTGGCAGGTCTTAGCCGGCACAATCCAACGCTGCAACCGGCTGGCTCTAGGCCAGCATCCCTTCTTCTGAGTCTCTGCCTCCTCCTCCGAGCAGATGCAGGCTGTCGTCTTCAGATGCTTCTTCCTCCTCCTCACTTCCCAGCGGCTCTAGGGAGCGTTTCGTGCCCCGCTGCTTGGAAACTGCTAGTGCGTACTGCATGTTATAGCGGTTCCAGCTGCAGCTGTCAATCACACACAGGGACAGGTCAGCTGCAGCTGTCAATCACACACAGGGACGGGTCAGCTGCAGCTGTCAATCACACACAGGGACGGGTCAGTGCCAGCAACACCCAGGCCCTGGCCTGGCCTGCACCCAACCACCTCCTCTGCGACCCCTGAGAAAAGCAGCAAGGGGCTGGACATGCCAGTCCCTCCACCCCAGCAGCCGTTTGCTTCCTCCTTTCCCTGCCCCAACAATCTGGTTCTGACCCATCCAGCCCTAGGGCAGCAAAGGCCTTCAAGGACCCAAGGACCCAACTGTAACATCCCATCCCTTTGGGCCCATCCTGGCAGCTCAGCCCTTCCACTGGGCCCAATCTAGACAGCTTCACCAGCAAGTTCCACCAAGCACTTAGGAAGAGACCGCTGCAGAGCTATGTGTGTTCTGGAGGGAGAGGGGAGGAAGGCACGCTCTCAATCAGTTAATTTCCTGAGTTAACAGAATAAAGGAGAAAAGTGACGCCACCATCACTTTACATAGAAAAGCACCTTGTAAAGGAGAACTGAAAGGTAAATGGATGAGAAAGGAAGGCAGGCAGCGCCCCGCCGCATCTGCAGGTCACAGGATCCTCTGTGCAGGGCTCTTGCCGACAGCCAATGGCAGCCCTACAGTTTGGCAGTGAACACCTAGACACGACGTCCAAGGAACAATGTGCTCACATGAACTCTAAAACCTCCCATAAGAGGGAATAAACCTAAAGGAGCTTGGCCGGGTGTGGTGGCTCACACCTATAATCCCAGCACTTTGTTTGAGAAGCAGAGGCAGGCAAATCACCTGAGGTCAGGAGTTTAAGACCAGCCTGGTCAACATGGTGAAACCCTGTCTCTACTAAAAATACAAAAATTAGGTGGGCATGGTGGCGCGCGCCTGTAATCATAGCTACTTGGGAGGCTGAGGCAGAATTGCTTGAACCTGGGAGGTGGAGGCTGCAATATGCCGAGATCATGCTACTGCACTCCAGCCTGGGCAACGGAGAGAGACTTTGTCTCAAAAAAAAAAAAAAGAAAGAAAGAAAAAAGAATGAATTTTAGGCTGGGCGCGGTGGCTCACGCCTGAAATGCTAGCACTTTGGGAGGCCGAGGCGGGCGGATCACAAGGTCAGGAGATCGAGACCACGGTGAAACCCCGTCTCTACTAAAAATACAAAAAAAATTAGCCGGGCGTGGTAGTGGGTGCCTGTAGTCCCAGCTACTCAGGAGGCTGAGGCAGGAGAATGGCGTGAACCCGGGAGGCGGAGCTTGCAGTGAGCCGAGATTGCGCCACTGCACTCCAGCCTGGGTGACAGAGAGAGACTCCATCTCAAAAAAAAAAAAAAAAAAATGAATTTTAAAAATAAAGGAGCTAGACAGCCCTCCTCCTCCTCCTCTAGAGAGCTCTGTGCAAAGTCCAGGACATCTCAGCCGAGGGAAGGCCTGGCACCAAAATCGTGGATCAGGGCGCATCCTAGCCTTCTGTAGGGCACCCAGAACACGAGGGGAGGAAAGGCTCGACCTAGACTCTGGGACACATTCCAAAGACTGAGAGACACGTCAAGCACAGATGGGAGGACCACATGAACCCACAAGGCCCAAACTCAGGCCTCAACCCCTGAACCCTGGACAGAGCAACTCGCAGACACAGCAGAGAACAGACCTTTCAGAAATACAGCTGGGAAACCTGGCAACTGACTGGCAACAGAGGGAGCTATCCCTCACATGGCTACTCTGAGGCCTGCCTAGTTCAGGCTCTGCTGGACCTTTAGGGAGGGTGAATTGCTAGGGACAAAAAAGGCACAAACCACAAGGAAATGACAGGAGAAGAGGCGGGCACCCCTGCAGAGTGAGCACGGTGGAGGGCCGGGCCCTGTCCTAGGCCCGTGGATGAATCCTTGCAGCAGCAGCACCCTTTTCCAGGGGAGCCATGGCTCAGGGCAGCCACACCTCCAGGACTCCAGGCCGCCCAGCCTCACAGTCCTGTGACCACCCCCGCTGCTTGTGCAGGTGACCTGCAAATCCAGGAAAGGCTGCCCGGTCCTACGAATGTGGCAATCCCTCCAAGAGCCTGGAGGATTCC